AAAGTTAGATATCCATTTATGGAGAGCGGAAGGAAAAGTGGCTTTGCGCATCCATCAACATCACCTGCTCAGGCAGGTGTGAAGTTGTCCATCTACCTTCAAAGCTTTGTTCTCAGCTGAATGAAAAAACCTCCCAGCAGTGGGATATGTCCTGAAACAAGATCTGAGGCCCACTTAGTTCCACCTCCGTGTGTGGTGGTGGCTCCTGTCCTTGCTGCGAGCCAGGGGCCTGGGTCTGAGGGAAGCTGCAACTGCGCCAAGCTCTCTGACAGCTGCTTCTGCGGTGGGTGGGGTTTTGCCAAGTGTTGCCTGGGAGTGAGTTGGACATAATTGCCCTTGTGTCCCCTGATCCATGGTTTGCTGGCAACCCTCTGCAGGGGGCTATGTTCTCTTTTGAACAGCTCTGTGGGAGTTGTTCCTCTGAAAGACTAGTGCATGACTTTCCTTGGCTGGGGTAAATGTGAACTGAAGCCAGGGAGCACGCAAAGAATTGAATTTTGGTCCATTCTGGAGAGGGGAGACATGACTGTAGGTAGATCTTACTCCCATGACTGTAGCTTTATATTGTATACTTTTTGTGACTGCCTTTCCAGGAAAAGGAGTCAGCCCTGGGAATATTGCAGCAGTTGGAGTTGACCTTTAGCTGAACAGGCTACAGGATGATGTTTTTATAGTAAGCCTTTCACTGCCTAGGTAAGTACCTAACCGATGCCCAGTAACACTTTCTGCTTAGAACAAAGGTTTTGACATTAAAGAGCTATTTGGATGGTCTAAGATTTATTGCAGAAGAGAGGACAGGGCTGGGAGCAAGGAAAAAGCAGAACTGTTTTAGTGGAGGGATGCCAGGGTTGTGAAGGGGCTTCTTTGGACCAGGCCAAGTGGAAAAGATGTGCTTGTGTCAAATTCCCATAGCAGTGGATGGCAGCACCTGCAGACAGTTAAAGGAGCCAGAGACTTTGCCAGTGCCTTGCCTATTCCTGTTCTGTTGTTTGGCTCCTTGGGCTAGTCATTGACGGTTTTGCAACTTACCTGGGACTGTTTAATTTTGTATTATTTTTACCTCCCTGCAATGAAGCTTTTGAATTGATCTGTCTTTTACGATCAAGTCTGACACTGAATGCTGAAACGGTTAAAGATGATCTTCCTTGCTATCAGCTGTGCTGGTTATGTTCAATGCCGTACGTGAATTGACGTAAAAGCTACCAGCATGCTAAAGTATATGAAATTATCTTGAGTTGCTCGGAGTTCGATTTCTCTGCCAGTTATGCAGCAAACAGGAGTGCCCCAAAGGCAGATGTGTTTGTATGGTTTTGCTTGTTGGCTATTTTGCCAGCTGTTGCGAGTGAGACACAGATCTCCAATGGACAGCTTGCCTGCCAGTCTTCAAGCAAGCCGAAGTGCTGTTTTCTTTTAAGCAGTCTGTTTGAAGCTGCATGCTTGCTCACGTGTTTGGTCAGCACCTTTGGAGCTTAAAACCTGCTCTCAAGATGTTCTTGGAGTATTTAAGTAGACATGTCAGTGGCATCGGTAAGTGTTGAAGGGGTTGATGTCTCTGGAGATCACAGATACACATTTCAATGGCAAAAATTTTCACACTCTGCTTGGCTTAAGGAAAAGTGTACCACACTGACCATGTTGGTGTCTGCTGTGTAACTTGTTCCTATCTTGGGGCTTGAAATGAGCTATTGCCTGCCTTCTTGAATCCTGCTTTATTTTTATCATACCTGCCTGTGGGTATTTTTAATGCTGATGAGAGAAAAGAAGGCTGTGGGTTGCCATTAGCCCTAAGATTAGAGTAAGGATTTCATGGCTCTTGGCTAGGAGCCTCAGAAAGCATTTATAGGTTATATTTTGTTAAAGTTTGTAACACTTGCAGTTGATACTAGATTTTTGGGTGTTGTCAGGAAGGCAGAAAAAGTGGTTGGGTTTTGTTTGTGTTTTTTTTTTTTTTCAAGTTGTGTGGCGGCATTATCCTCTGTTTGTAAAAATCAGCAATTGAGTCCAAATGGAGGACATTGTTTGCCTAATTGTCCTGATTTAGGAGTGTCTGTTCTTGCAAGAATCAGTAGGTATGAAGATCTAACATTTTGATGTGTTTGTAGCTTCTTCTTTAGCATCTACTGAAGTGTCAGTAACCTTAACTGACACTTAACCATTTTGTTTCTCTCTTTGAGAGTTGTACAAAATAATCAAACAACAGAAAGATACTGTCTGCTCTTCCTGAGAGCTTTTGTTTGTTTCAGTAACAGATTAAGCATGTTACAAGATTTGGCAGTTTTAATGCAGTTGAACTATTTACTCTCTGCTTCAGTAAAGGATGTTTCTGAAAACGGGATCTAATATACAATATTACGCCAAAATAGAGTTTCCCTGTTATATACTTAAAATTGAAAATGTTTTACTCATCTTAACTCTGTCTTTATAGTCGATATAGAATTTTTATTCTTTAATAAGGAAACATCTTGTAAAATCTCCATTAATGTTCAGAAAGTGTTTTACTACAGTTCCCAAATTTCTATGATCTTATTAACTTTTTGTTCCTTAAAATTGTTCATCTTTAACTATAAAATGTAATTTTTGCTATAAAATATGACCACGATGCGCTCTAGTCTGTAGAAAAGCATTTCTGCAAAAAGCGAAATCCATCAAGCACACCCAGGCTCTCATGCAAAGAGGCACAGGATCTGTGGGATCTTTTGTATGTTCAACTTAATAGAGCATACTAAGCAATTCCAAGATAGATCTTTCCAGATGCAAAACAGAAAAGTCAATTTTTCCACTTCCTTGTCTTCCGTGTCTTCTCTCTCAACTTATGTAAGTGGAATCATATACGGGAGTTTATTCTTGATTTGCATTTGAGGTTGGTTTTTTTTCTGGAATGAATTTATTCTTAGCAGTTTATTGTTATGTAAATTGTTTACCTGAACTTTTAAGAAGTAAATTGGGCACTATTGTAATAAAATGCCTCCCTGTTCACTTCCCCAGAACTAGCCCAGTTTTTACCCAGACAAAACTTGTCTTGCATGTCATTTTTCTTAGAGCCAGAAGATGCAAAAATTCTGCAATTGTTAAACAACTCTGTGAAAAATGGTAAAGCTCACATTACAGAGATGGAACTAAAATCACTTTGTGCTAGGCAAGAATATCCAGAGGCTTTTCTGTGTGCTAAGTTTTGTTATCCAATGCTCGTATTACAAACGACTTCCCCACATTGTGACCAATAAATGCTCCAAAAGGGTATTCTTGGGTTTCAGGTGTTCAGGTAATGAGCAGAGTTTCAATAGACAGGTAAACCAAACTGAAAGATAATAAAACATGAGTACTGGCAAGCTGCCTAGATTGGCATTGGTAAATGTGATTCTGTAAGAGATGTGGAGAGTGAAATGGGAACTATGCTGTACTTAAACGATCAAGAGGATTAGCCTGAGTTCCTTGGCTGCTGCCAGGTACCTTGTGTGTCGGCTTAAGCAAGTCCTTCGTAAAGACTATGAAGAAGCCAGGAAGATGATTCTCATCAGATGATTTATGTAGAGTAGGGAAGATAGTAGGCAGGGGATTCTGCAGTCTGTTTTGAGCTGTAAAGGGACAGACAGTGAAGAGCTTTAACAGGCATGGCATTTTGGTGATTTTGCATCAGGCCTACGAGACATAGCTTGCACAAATCATTAAGACTGCTCCCTGTGCAAATCTAAGGGATTCAGCTTTTATGTGTTTCCATCAAACTTGGGAGAACATCTGAAGTACAACCCCAACAGTGATTTAGCTATGGAAAATAAATCAACAACTTTTAAAATATGAAATTGACACTCGTAGGGTGCTGCCTGGGTCTTTTCCCACATTGCTTATAAATGTTGCCAATGATCTAATTTTTGCTTTCACTATTTCAGATTTTATTTCAAAGTCAGGAGGGAATGATATCTAATATTCATGTGTGTACTCTGGCACTATTGATCTGCAACAATCATTTAAAATAGACTTGCGTTTGAACATGATTTTAGTGTTTGGGGTTTTTTTTTCCTTCAGTATCAAGGTGGCTTTTGCTTAATGCTTTGTTTTAAATATTACTCTGAATGGGCCTTCCCTGAATGGAGACATGGGATCTGAGGCTGCAAGACAGATGCAGACAATGACAGCAAGATAATAATAATAATAAAGATATTGAATAAATTTTGGTGTCTTATTCCTTAGTAGTTTGGTGCTCTGCAGGAACAAATGGTAAAACTGGCAGCAGCACGGTGTGCCTACAGCAGAGACTTGAGACAACAAATTGTTCAAAGGAGTTATTACTGAATGCTGATAGTCTTTTCCCATACAAAAACAAAGCTTGTAATGGTTTCTGCACCTGCAAGGAGTATCCTAGCAACATCGCTGAGGAAACTGTATGCCAGGACTTTTTTCTGAGTGCTTTTTGTTGAACACAAGCAGCAGTTGTAAAACAAAGGTCAAGAGCAATTTAAGCTCTTCAAAGTGCTGTTGCTTAATTCATTTATTCAGAGAAATGTTTGTGTTGTAGTTTTCTGCCTAAAGGATAAATATCGGGTTACAGAGTCATCCAATGGATTATCCAATTGCAGTTTAGTTAAACATGAATATCACAATCCAAAACGTCACTTCTTGCTTGCAGGAAAATTACTGTTAGTATTTAACGCTAGTTTTTGCCTTGTGAAATAACAGGAGTCCCTGTTGCCTTCAGCATGCTCTGGCAGCTGAGGATTCCCAGGGGCTTTCTGTGCAACTGAGGATTCCCAGGGGCTTTCTGTGCAACACAGAACAGGGAAGCACAGAACACCACCAGGTACTGGGAACAGACCATCAGCCTATTTAAAAAAAAAGAAGAAAGCCCTTTTCTTTTTTCTTTTTGTCCGAGAAGGTGTATGCGGTCATTGTCTTACTGTATCTCAGTGTCTTACTGCACAGACCTCAGGTGAGTCCCTGCTTTGTGCTTTGTCATCAACTTCCAAGGAAAATACTTATCCCGGCTTTTCCTATATCATTCACTGGTACCATGTCAGAAGTACTTGCTGAGCTTGCTCTTACCAGCCTTGCCATCTTGTGAAGGGGAGAGGGCAGCGTTTATCTTTGTGTTTTATGGATGGGGGAGATGAGGCAAAGGACTAAGACCCTTTTCAGCCCCCTGGGCTGGGGCTGCAGAGTTACTGGGGGTGCTCTCAGCCCTTCCGAGCTTCTGCTTTCATCATGCAGAACAGGGAACGTACTGTCTCTCACCAGGACAGATGGTAATGTAGCCTAAAAAATGCATGCAGCTGTAACGAGTTTTTGCCCTCTGCCCAGACAAGTAGATAATCACTAGTTCTAGAGCCTGGTCTAAAAATGGAATTTTTACCACTTCAAATTTGTGTGTTAGGCAAGGGACAAAGCCTGTTGCTGGTCTTTGCTCCCCTGCATTCTGACTTGGTGAAAAGATTTTGTACTTAGATTATTGGATGTTGACCTTTTTCATTAGCCACTCAGAGTAATACAGGTTCTGCATAGTGTCATATGTAAACCGTCATCTAAAAAGTCAGCAGTCATCAGGCATAATTCCCTCTCTCAGATGCCTGTTTATTAAGATAAATGATGGTTTAAGCTGGAATTTAATACCAAACAAACTAACATGCTTAAGGTAACCTTCTGTTTCCTTCATTACAAAAGCACTTGAAAAGTGCCAAAGAAAATGAGCTAAGGATAAGGTGCTTGTTCTGAGGCAACACAAGAAATTTTCATTGAAAATCTATCACAGCTAATAGAAAAATGAAACACTATTTCATTCAAACAACCTTTTTTTTTTTTTCCCCCCCCTCCTTCTGGACTTCAGGTGATGTGACCCCTCTTCTCATGAATCCTCTCTCGCAGCCACAGTCCATTCCTCTGGCAGAAGGAATATGTCGTACCATATCAGACATGAATGCAGATCATGTAATGGTCACGCAGGCAACTTTAATGGAGCAGTTAGTGAAAAACTATCCAGGTAATGTGTTCATTTCTCCCTCCTTTTAAAAGTGACTGTATCATCAAGTTGGAGTTTCTGATACTGGGCAAGTGATCACTTAACGTTTACAAGCAAAGCTGGCAATTTGCAAGAGTATCTGGTAGAATACATGAATGTGCATACTATACTCATCAATCTGTGAGTGTCATTAGCATTGTTTTGAATGTAGTCCTTCTTTTTATAGATTTCTTAAAATCTTCTTTGAGAATAAGAGGGAACAGAGTGCAGTTACATGGTGAAAGTATGCCCTTTCTAGAGGGTGGGAAAGCACAGAAGAGGTATTTAGGTGCCAGATATTGAACAGCGTAAAATAGACTGCGTGTCAGATCATGAAGACTTTGAGTCCTCCTTTAAGAGACAGGAACATAGCTGACTTTGATGGCAAAGGGAGCGGGTGGAAGTCTACACCTGGTGTTTGCTATGAAAAAATACAACCGGCCTCAAATTCAGGTTTGTTGGGCAAATTCCAGCCCCTTCCTTCCCGAAAGCAAATTACTTACACTAAATGAGCTTTAATCCTTCTCCTCTGATGGGGTAGCAGCTACTTCCCTTAAATGCTGTGTTTTCTTCTCAATCTGAAAAACGTTCAATTTCCCTTAGATCTGCAATATTGAAGTGTGTGAGCATGTGAGACTTTGTAAAGGCTTGTTACAGCCCTCTGCAGGAGGTTGCTCTGTTCGATGCTGAGCTTCATCTTTTGAGTCTTCTTAACCTTACAGCTCCGCAAATGTTACAGGTTGATCTGGTAGCAGGAAAAATTTTAATGCAACCTCATAAACAGGCCCAGAACCCTGCCAGGAACATGGTGTTGTCCATATGTGCGCTGAGACAACCACAAGATAGCACTTTTAGGTCAGACAAAAGTAGCACTCTCAAAGTTTGTAGGGAGAGAGCATATTTCTTGCTAAGTTTCACCTTGCTGGAAGTTTTCATTCCTGTGGGCAGGAGATCAGCAGAAGCCTGGGGCAGTAGATCAGATGTCACTAGACTAATGACTCTGGAACTGTGACACCTGAGGGAAAACCAGTGGCTGAGACCAGTCTCAGCAATTGTCATCTGACAAAATTATACCAGGTGCTTCACAGAGAGTGACAAAAGCCACTGCTAAATAACCTGCCAAGAGGGAAACACTTTGAACAACACATTGTTTGGTTTGTAGCTGGCAGAAGGTCTCGCTCATGAATATCACATCCTGACAGACACAAAGAGAACATCCTTGCTTATTCGAAGGAGAACGTCCTAAGCTCCATCACAGCAGTGCTGCAGTGACAGCCAGAAACGCAGCTGGCCTCTACCTTCTTCCTTAGGGGTGACCTTGCCTCATCAGCAGCAGAGTTAAAAAGGGTTATACGGATCTGTAAGACACCGGCAGGATTGCAGAGCCTTCGGCTGGATGATGTTTCTGTGCTGCCCTCACCTGGCTGGCCCAGAAGGGCTCTCCCTGACTCAGGGCTGCAGTCTGTGCTAGCCCCAAGATTTGGGGCAGCCTTCGCTGCCCTGCACATGTGGACACCCGCTGCAGAGTGGGGCTGTCCCTGTTCTGCGGGGAGCACAGGGCTGTGGGTGGGGACAGCTGGGTGCAACAACAGCTGCTGGCTCTGGAAGTTCAGCAGAGCAGTGATATATTAAAAAAAAAAATCCTGCCTTTTGTCCGGTGATACTGGACACTTTCATGTTGAAATTGAGTATGCCCTACTCAAACTTCAGTTGCCAGGTCAGTTTTAAACTTCTTTTGGAATCATGTGAACTAAGTACATTGGGTCTTTCATGTTCAGTGGCTTCCAGATGGTTGTAAGTTATTTATTTTTTGGCCAGCTCCCATTCTATTTGAAAACTTATTTCTGATTTGAAGTATCTGTATCTTTGTTGTAGGCGTTGCAGTTCCCTCCCACAATATCTTATATAATATCCTTGGCACTCTAATTAAAGAAAGGAAAATCTATCATACAGGAGAAGGATATTTCATTGTGACTCCCAACACATACTTTATCACAAATGATGCCACAGAAGACAATAGAAGGGTCCTGTTGGAGGACAGTTGTTGCTGTTCATCACCTTCCATCACTTACCTGGTAAACATTGAGCATGGTGCAGACCTAGTGAAAGAAAACATTCCTACGGTATCCCGTTACAGATCCTGCCACTGTTTCACTGACCAGAATATGCTCTGTGAACAAAGACATCGGCAGCTAATGAACCATGAACCTAGTGGAGGAGGTAAGAAAGGCTGCAGTGAATTGAAGCCTTCAATTCACACTCAAGGGACCTCCACACCTGCTGAAAACCATTCCCGGGACACCATCAAATCTCTGACATCTGTGAAAGAGAAACTGAAAAGCAAAAGGTTTGGCCTTGGCCTCTTCTGGAGAAGTGCTTCTAAAAAAGAAAAATGTAAGAAGGAGTACTCCACTTTCTCAGCCCAGTTTCCTCCCAAGGAATGGCCAGTCAGGGATGAAGGTGACTTAGACAATATTCCACGTGATATTGAACACGAAATCATCAAGCGTATTAACCCTACTCTTACAGTTGATAATTTGATTAAACACACAATATTAATGCAGAAGTTTGAGGAGCAGAAAAAAAATATCAGTAAGGGTACCTCGGCTGAAGCGTCAATAGTCAGACAAAACCATATTTCGAAGGATTGTATTCAAAAGACACAAAGTAAAACAGCAAAACACACCAACAAAACCAAAACAAAGAAAGAGAAGCAGATTAGCAGAAGCAACAGGAAATCTCACATACATGAGCTAACATGCCAAAATGAGAAACTGGAAGAGAACCCTTCATTGCCTATCAGAAACCAACAGCCATCTGATGTAGCGGTGGAATCCCATGTCATATATAAAAAACAAATTAAGAACCCTTTTCAGGGTCTGTCATGGAGACGCAACTGTTATGCGAAAGGGTACAAAGGTATTATTAACAGTCAGCTGAAGTCCAGGACTCGAAAGCAAGAAAGGGCTTTAGGAAGGCCACGGTCCTTGGACTCCTCAAAAACCTTTGACTATGAAACTGAACGGCTGGCTGCTGAAAGGCAAACTGACAAAGCTAAGCAAAACAAACTACTCCAAGCTAATATGTCTTCCCTCCAACTAAAGAAAGACAGTCTAAATGAAAACTTTAGTTATCCACAAGGCAGTACTTTGCAAATAGATAATAAAGGTAAATACTTTCTAGACAGTAATATTTCTGAAGAAAACATCTACAGAAGAACAGTCAGAAAAAATCCCGGGGATATTAAAAAATCCTCTCAGTCCTACACTGAAGATAACGGTGTGTGCAAAGAAGACGAAAAATTTTCATTACGTCTGAAAGATGAGTATTGCAGGTGCAAAGCTGACACTGTATGTGAGTTATTAGATCAAACAGCAAATGAATTAAAAAATGTCTGCCTTTCAAATTATACAGCCAATGTTAACCTGGTAAAGAAAATCGGTGTGAAATACAGACAAAAGACTGATAAAAAGAGTGAACTTAAATTTAAATACGACTGTGCCAGCCATCCCAGATCAATGAAGCTGGAAAGTGGAGGATTTACTGATAACTGCCATCTTCTGTACCAAAAAGCACATGACGGTGACACCTGTAACTCATTACATCTGGATGACAATTTTAAAGGCAATGAACCATGTCACTTGCCTCCTGGCCATGCTTTTTCAGATAAAGGAGAGTGGAGTAGTAAAGCTGTGCAAAAGCTGGGGACAGCTATGTCCCTAAAAAACTGTAAGGTTAATACTTATCCCGCCCAATACAACACAACTGTAAATAAATGTGACTCTGGAGAGCATGGCTATAAGGGAAGTTCTGTTTTTGCAGAATCAATAGATGGCTCAAAAGAGCATCCAAAAAGAGATTTCAGAGAAGAAAGTTGTTTGTACAGTCAGGTTCTTCTGATGGGTCACAGAAAGGAAGAAGAAACTGGCTTTACTGAATGTATAAAGGCTTCATCTGTAGCAGATTTCTGCAACGCTGATAAGGCTGACTCAGATGCTGATACTTTGCAGAACTTCACCTATGAGGTGGGTGAAGGAGTGGCATGCTGTGCTTTGGGCTCACAGACCAAAGAAACAAGAAACCCTCTGAGAAAAAAAGATCTGTTTTTTAAGAATGCATGTACTGTGATACCAGGACAGAAACACTCTGAAGGGACAGAAAACCACAGCATTACAGGAGACAGTGGAATTGACTCCCCAAGGTAAGAAAACACATGTAACTATGTCAGGTATTTTATTTTCAAACTAACAATCAGATTTAGGCAGAAATGTTGCTGTAAGTCATAACCTACCCTCCCCAAAATCAAAATTCTTCTTGTCTTTAGAAACTTCAGTGTTATGTCCTGGAAATATTCAAACTGTGTAGTTCTACCATGCCTTTTTGTATGAACATTCCCCCTAAATCAGCTATACAAATGCTGCTGTTTATATATTTTGCATTTGTTTTCATGAGGCAAGAAAATAGTATGAGCTCTGCCTTGCAGATGGAAATGGCCAAGTGCAGAAACATTAAGAAACATAGTGATAGACAAACTCTGTGTTAAACATGGTGATTGATAAACTCCTGTTAGCAGGCAGGTTCAGCTCGCATCGGTCTTGCCGTATGACATTATGGATATTGTCATAGTTTCCCCACTTCTAGATGAAGAATAAAAAATGCTTTATAGAGGTGTTCAACCAAAATTTAAAGCACAAAGTACCATCCTACTTGCTCACAACAGACAGGAGAATGTGTACATCACTTGAGCTAGAAGATTCTGCTTCCTTTCATAGGGTATATTTTGCCTGTCACTATTCTTGCAAAGTCCCTTAATGGAAAACAAATGGGTTTGAAAGATTTTTTTTTTACACAGTTACATGTGGAGAAGACCTACTAAACTGTTAACTAAATTGCCAAGAACATAAGTTAAAATGCTGTGAGGGAAAAATAATATCCACTTTTTTAATAGCATGACATATTCTTAAGAATATCTTAAATGACTGGTCTTAAGAGTATCTTAAATGACTGGTATTTAAGTGTAAGTAAACCATTTGAGTTCTCATTACATGTGTACTGTCACCTTGAGAAGCTAGTATATGAAGGAACAAATCACATACTATAGTTTTTAAGGAAATTCTGCTGATTTTTTTTTTTCCCCCTTTAAGAAGCTTTCAGCTGTGCACTCTTCCAAGCACATTTCTAATGCATTACTTGGACATGAACACTTGAGACCTTTTGGATGCTCTTTAGCAAAATATATTTCAAAGGGTCATTTTGATTGTTTGTATTGATGCCATCTGTGGTACCAGAACCTAAGCCAACTCAGTTTTAGAATGTGAAGTCTGATGTATAATAATTCTGTTATTTTAGATGGACCGAAAAGAAGATGAAACTTCCTGCCAAATTCTGAAAGCATAAATACTAATGCAGAGGAGGACAAAGTGGAAGGACAATTGCAACAAAATTCCTTGCTTCAGCTAACTCCCGTCATGAATATTTGATTATTTTTGTAATGGGCTTTGTAAACTTTCCCTTTTTAACAGTGTAACCATCACTGTAAATGTGATCAGTTGCATCTGTGAGGCTGTCTCTAAATCAAAGCTGTTACTTAAAACTTTCAACAGTAGTATTTTGGAGAGCTAATGTGTATTTCTGTTGCTCTCATCTTTAATTAGTTTTTGCATCCCTACGATAATAAAAATGAGAACTGATACACTTCATTCAAATCACACCATTAACCTGCAAAGGGTATGTGGTGCTCTAATAGGAACTGTAGCAGTTGGACGGGGCTGTTTTACACTAATTCTTGCAAGTGTTTCCTACTTGTACCACAGAAATAACGACACGCTCCAATCTTCCCCGTCAGAAAGCAAAGCAAACACAGTAGGTTGGCACGCACCTTGTTACTACAAAAATTCCTCGAATCTCAAGGTTCTCTCACCATGTCCTGAAGAAATCTCTGCTGTTCTCCTGAATCTACTTGGTGTGTTTATACCTGGCAAGCAGGATTTAGTCTTTGCAAATGAAAATGTGGTGGTGCAGGACAGGTCAGTGGCCCTGCTTTGAGAGAAACCCTGCTGCGGGCCGGCATGCTCCCGCTCTGCTCCTGCCCACCCCGTTCCTTCTCTTCAGGAATCAACATGCTGGTTGTGAGCCCATCAGGATCACTTTTCAGCCTTTAGTCCAGACAGCTAATTTTGACTTCTTAATCCTGATTTCTTCCTGCAGCTAAAAGCAGACCCTGCTGGTTTCATGCTGCTAATCACCAAAGGCTTGTGATCCTTTTAAATCTTAGAGAGGCACTTGGTCGTACTGCTACTGACTACGTTAGGCTCTTTCACTACTGAAAACTTGCCTCCAGTAGTTACGGAGACAGAAGGCTAAAGTTGAGTTATCAGTTTTTAAAGGTATTGGAGATTTCTTTTATGGAAGGCGTCGCTGGCTGTCAAGAAGTGGAAGAAACCGCGTTTGCGCTGGCAGGGACTGAGCAGAGCTCTGCAGCGCTCTCTCCCGTCCGCCTGGGTCCACGGCGGGTTTCAGTCACGCCGGTACCGGGATTTTCCGCTCAGGCTTCTCCGGCAGCTCCCCGCCCTCAGCGCCTCCCGCTGCCACTGCCTGCCAGCAGCCTTTCCGCTTCCTTAAAAAAACCTCCTCCCAGGGGCTTACACGCGCAACGGGGGTGCGGCATAAGGCAGGCCCTGGTGGAAAGCCGGTGGACGAGGCTCAAGTCGCCGTTTCCC